TAATTGGCGGGCGTGCGAGCTCGCGACCTCCGCGAATCGCGTGAGGTGCGTAGCGCCGCGGGTCCTGCGTCCCTGCGCGCGGCATTTAAATTAGCGGCGGTGTCCTTTCGTCGGCGGTACCAGGTGCGCTCCCGTGTTGGCACGCTCAGGCGGCTCGTCCTCAGGAACAAATTCTCGTGAGGAGCCGTCCCTGGCGGCAGGTCTTATCCTTGGGGCACCCTGTCGCGTTGCCGACTACGGGGTCTCTCGCCCGATCTGGGGCGTAGAATGGCCATCCCCTTTATCCTCGCCTTAGCTGGCTCGCACCGGAATCTGTAAGGAAGCGCGGCAGCGTAATTGCTCTCAAAGTACGGAAAGGAACGCGGACTAACATACGACCTGTGTATTGCTTCCTCCGTGGTGCCTTCTCTGCCTTCATGGTCCTCTTCTCATGGTGATCGCGACGTCGGTGAGACGGTTGAAATTCTACAAAATTCCCGGGAGCCGCCGATACGTTATGCTAGATAATCGAGATTGCTACGGAAACTAAAAAGTGATTAGGAACGGTATTCGGTATTTGGGCGGCGGGAGCCACGCAAATGTAGTCCCGCGGCCCGCGCCACGCGTCCGCCTCCGAAAATCGGAAGGACGCAGGACTCAAAACTACCGCCCGCGGTCGGGTCCGTAGATCCCTTGTGACGGACGGTCCAAAAAGGGACGTCACAATACATACATACATATGGGCCATTCCACGTAAAGCGGATCAGTCATCTCTCAGAAATTTTTCTAATTTTGCACAAAGGTAGTACTTTGGGAGATAGAATTTTGTGCCAAAAGATTTTTTTCTTATTGCAAAATTAATCGAGATATAAACAATTAAAAATTAGACTGCTTTATTTTCAAAAATTCATAGCTCTGTTAATAATAATGCTAGCTGATTGCTTTTTTTTTTTCAAAATTACGCGAAAAATAGTTCTAGTTTACGAGAAAAAAATAGAAGATTCCAAAAATAGTTTTGTTTTCCATTGTTTAATTAACAATAAACTTTTCTAACAATTTTTTTAACTAATCGGGGAGAGAGTCGA